AAAACTAAAAAAACTATTTACAATGGTTGCGATTTACAGAAACACCGACTTATATACAGAGCAGAAATATCAAGATTGAGGTTACGTAATGCAACAAAGGTCTAAATTACAAGGTGAAAAGGATTAGACAATCAAAGACAAATACAGAACTATGGGTGACATGTGAATACAAATGAGGTGAATACAAATGAGTGACAAAAACTAGAGAGAAAAAATCTAACTTAATTAGTAGTGTTTACTCTGAAGTAACAAGCTCCCCATTGAAGGCCTCTGTAAGTAAGTACAAAGAAATCGAAAAAATAAAGAAGAGAAGATAAAGAAATAAAGAAATAAAGAAATAAAGAAATATGACACCTTAACGTTCTTTATACTTACAATGGAACCCCGCCTTAGGACCACCCCGTTGATACGGCCACCTCGTTATTACGGCCACTTTATTCTGGCCCGGAAAAAAGCTCAGTCAGTCATTTTCATATTCAAAGAACCCCTTTAATACGGCCACCCCTTTAATACGGCTATCCCGTTAATAGGGCCATCTTGTTAATACGGCTATCCCGTTAATACGGCCACCCCGTAAACGCGGCCACCCCGTTAATACGGCTATCCCGTTAATAGGGCCATCTCGTTAACACGCCTATCCCGTTAATACGGCTATCCCGTTATTACGGCCAGATATTTGTGGCCCGTTGGTGACCGGATTAACAGGGTTCCACTGTACTTAAAAAATTAAACTGGCGGGAGGCGCTTCAGGCCTCATGGTTAGTGTGCTCGACTCCAGAGCGGACGGTTCGGGTTCGAGCCCTGGCCGGCGACATTGTGTTGTGTTCTTGGGCAAGACGCTTACCTCTCACGGTGCCTCTCTTCACCCAGGTGTATAAATGGGTACCGGCGAATTTAATGCTGGGGGGTAATCTTACGATGGACTAGCATCCCATCCAGGGGAAGTAGAAATACTCCTGGTTGCTTCACACTGCTGAAACCGGGATAAGCTCTGGCCTGATGAGCAACTTGGCTCGTGAACAGACTTTACCTTTACCTATAAAATTAAGCTGTCGGGTTGAAAGTCACATTATCATTTTCTTCTTCTTTTAAAAGATATGAACTGATGACTGAATGCTGGAGGGAAAATCCAACCACTCGCCCCAGTTTTTCGGAATTGATCGGCCGAGTGGAAGCTATTATGACAAAGGATGTAACCTACTGCGACTTGAGCAAGCGAGACGAGTCTAGTCCGTACTACAACGTACCCGCTGAGGCTGTTGAAGAAAGCGGCGAGTAGAGCTAGAGAGAAATGCAAAGACCTTCCGACACCATCAAGAAATGAGTGGCTACTTTCGTCATAGTTTATAACCCTTGCAAGGAAACCTTGTTGAGAAAGCTCGACCTATTATATATTAGTAAGCAACGATTTGGAGAAGTAGATAAGTAAGGTAATATATATAATAAAAACAAAGATGGATGGAAAGAAGGAAGGAAGTAAAAAAGGAAGGAAGGTAGGACAGAAGAAAGGAAGGAAGAAAGAGAGCGAATGCAAACAACATATAAAATATCAATAGGACGTCTGTGTGTGTGGCCAGTCAAAGAGAAGGTAGAAATTGCCAAGAGCTAAAGACCGAAATGAGTTTATAGCATAAAGTTTCTGAAATAAACCCTTGACTCCATATCATCATCTTATTTTTCGAGGGGTAACACATGGTAGTGGACATTCATTAACAAACTTGTGGCCCTCACTTAGATAAATCTAAAAATACAATATTTTATAAAATAGATAATAACTCTAAAAACTAAATAACTCTAACACACATAAATACGCATCAGAAACAATAAATAAAATAAAACGAATTACTTAAAATGCTAAGATAGACTAAATAGTAAAACTGATTATGACAAATTAAAATGGCGCAATAACCTCTGGTTGTCCGAAAACGTTTCCTCATGGCTTGTTTAATTAATGTAATACGGATATTTCCATAATAAGACACTCCGCACGTTCTCTTTTGTGTCCGTATTACAGAAGTTCGATTGTGTTTACATTCACGTTTAGTGAGATGAGGTATCTATTAAGATTTCGAACCATTGTTTTGCCTTGGTAATGGCAATTAAGAGGCTGTCTGCGTAAGAACGGATTACACAAATTTCGGACCTTCACCGATTGGTCTCATTTTTTCAGTGAAAGTCAACCATTATATCTAATGTACAAATATCACGTTTATTTGGATATATTCAATATTTTTGCGAGAGGGTGATCAAGGTGACCTCAAAACGGGTTGATTTGCTCCTAAATTTAGCTCTAAATGTCAGACGCTGCTAAAACTCAGGTTTTTTCATTCCAACAAGCTGACCTGTAGTGGCGGCAATCTAACTGGTACTGGTGGTTATTTTATTTTCAAGCATTTACGGCCAATATATATTGGTTGTAGGTGCGACCGCCGTTACCTTTATTTACCAAAATGGCGAATACTTAGCAAATTCGTGGAAATCTGTACGGCGCGCAGTGGTGAGTGGCCACAAATTTTATTCTATAAGTTTTACATTGCTATTATTACTTGGGAATTATCACAGACTCGATCCTAGATTAGGTCCCATGCACATTTGAGGAAAATAGCCTTTAACTAAAGCTGTCACGCTTCGCACATCCCGGAGTTTGGCAAGAGGTATTTTAAAAAATTCCTAACCGTCCGTCAAACTTGAACAGAGCATAATTGTGAAGCCCTTCAAATATCTAAGAAAAGTGACAATTTTGCATGTGAAACATTCAGCTTGTTCAACTTTGTCTTAATTGGCAGCGTCTGACATTGCCAAATTAGCCTATTTTGAGGTCGCCTTGAAAACCTCGCAGAAAACGAGGTTGATCCTGTTAAAACCTCATGAACTAAAGAAAATTCAGTGGCATACAGGTTTGGGTGTTACGGAAATTCTCGAGAAGAGAAGGTTTTAGACAAAAGAACCAATCTGGCTCGTCTTAATTCAAATAAGTAAAGCGAACAAGTGAAGCTAAAACAATCACTTTCGTGTTACCGCATCGTGGGAATAAAAGAAGGTCACAAACTTACTTTTACAGAGAAGCTGAGAGATGTTTTCCCCTCAGGTAAGGAACAATCATTTGCCGTAGAAAATATCATTATTTAAATAAAGCAGTTTAATGTGATATCGCAACACAAACTCATCCGGCTACAGTAATTTGCATATCGATGGGAAGAAAATATTCATCGTTCATACTGTTTAAAAAGCCGAATTAAGTTACATTTTTCCCGAAACAACGGCAAAACCGAGGAAAATCCACTTTAAAATCCACAATTAGTGGTGGTTATTTTATTTCCAAGCGTTTACTGTTCGTAGGTGCGACCGCTGTTATCTTTGTTTACCATCAAAATGGCGCCGGAGTACTTGGCAAATTCGTAGAGCTCTGTGTGGCATGCAAAGAAGAGTGCCCCACAAAGTGTATTCTATACGTTTTTACATTTCAATTACTCGATTCCAGATGATTCCGGAGTTTGGTAAACTTGATCAGAATACAATTGTTAAACCCTTAAAATATTGAAGAAAAGTGGAACCTTTGCACGTAAAATTAAACATTTAGTTTGTTGTCTCCCAAGAAGAATTAGCCTGTTTTGAGGTCACCTCGAAAAACTTCTCGCAATAAAATGAAAAAAATCGAATTAATCCAAGTAAATATGATATTTGTACATTGGATATAATAGTTGACTTTCCGTTCTTACGCGGACAGCCTCTATTAATGTTGCCACTTCATTATAAATCCGATTCATTTGGCGTTTCATTTTTGACACCTTTATCGGTAGTGGTATTTCTTATTTTTCGGTTTATTAGTGACAAGCCGGTTACCATGGCTACGCATTATTTGGACACATTTTATTTACTTTAACATTGAAAAAACATCTAGCTCTTCCTTAAGAAACATACCATCTAGTTCATTTTATAACGCCGGTACGACCTGTTGAGCTATTGTAGTTATTAAATGATTAACTATTCCATCCTTGCTTATATCGGCTCCATTATCGCAGAAAAAATAAATTATAAATCATCGTGATCACAAAAAGGGGTGTCTGGAAAACCCGAATAGCGAATAGCGAATAGTCGCGAATAGCGAACAGCGAATAGTCCCGAATAGCGAATAGCGAATAGCACGAATAGT